GCCAAAAAAAAAATCATAAGTTTTTAATTCATAATAATAAACTATATGTAGAAATGAGTAAGCCCACTCGTTGCTGCTTCTAACAATTGACTGTGTTAGGCCCTGTTCTGGGCTCTGCCCTAGGCTCTTTGATCTCTTTTTTCAGCACGTTGTGTTGCCCTGTGACGGTAAAGATTAAGGCTGTCACAGTGTGGCTTCTCTGCATTCCTTGGGGAATTTGGGCTACAACTCACTCCCCTTTCTGAAAGGCTACGTACGAGAGATGTTTTGGTTGCTGTTCAGACTGGGAACTTCTCCTCTACTGGGAGAAACTTCCTGGATGACTGCATTATTTTCCTGTCCACGTTGTATTGGTCTGTTTGCACTGGAGCAAAAGAGAGTGAACTGATAGTTTAAAATGTTGCATGGTAGTTGGTGGTTTGCGTCTGATATATCTTTAGGTATTTTATTTAGAGGGGGAAGGTCAGCTCTAAATTTGTGACTGCTCTGAAATGGGCCACAAGCATGAACACTGAAGCCAATGTTGAGCATGCAGGGAGCAGGAACCACTTTGTGACCCTGGTGAGGTTCATGCCCTCTGTCTTCCAGCTGCCCCTAGGCATGGGAATAGGGATTTTCTGCCCCGGGACTGAGCCCTCGCTTCCCCAGCCCAGGGCCCGCCTACCAGGAGAATGCCGAGGCAGGAGTCTATGGAAATGAATTCCTGCATGGCTTTGGAAAATGAGATGTGCCCCCACTAACTATAGCTGGGGATTTGGCTATGTCTTTTTTACTGTTAGAAAGTGTGTGGCCTCTGGGGATTTGAGCTCAACCCTGTTGAGAACTGCACTTACTGATTTGCTGTTTGAATTTTTATTCATTCTTTTTCATGTTGTACAATAAGTGTTATTGTTTTGGAGTTTTTTTAGCTGTACCTTAAACCTGCAAATCATGCAGACTAAATCACGTCAAACTAATTCCTTGAATCTATATCGTTTGTCTGAAAGTAAGCAGAATAATATTTGCCTTATGGGAATGAGGCTTCTATGCACAGCTGCCACAGCACGTAATTTTGCTGGTAAATGTGGGTGGTGGAAAAATGTGAAGTAAACATCAGTATATTGTTAACCGTGGACACATAATCCTTTAGACTGAATAGTTTCTGAAACATGAACAATGGGACTTTGGAAAACAGATGACTCATATGCAATTGCCCACTTATACTTGGGGAAAGCACTGCACAAATCTCTATCTCACCACTATTGGGCAGAGATATATGCCAGTATCTTCAAATGGTGGAAACAAATCTTGGGAGGAATTGATGAAAAAGTTGTCACTGCTCTAAAATCTTATTCCCAAAATAAATGGTATGGGAAACAGAGTCTCTCCCCTTTGCCACAAGCTGGTGATAACATCAGAAGGACAATAACCTGCCCTCCGGTCAGCCATGCTGGGGCAGGACCACAGCCACTGGATGATCTTGTGCTATGTTTTCCACCCCGCTCCAGGTGACATGGGGAAATGTTCCTTCCGACCTGGCTTCACCCGTTGTTGACAGAGTTAATACAGCAGCCAAAGTTTATGCCCTGGCATTACTTTTACCTTTGAACAGTCCTTGCCTCTTAGATGGCACTGTGGTTTGGATTGAGTTTAAAGAGGAAAAGAAGATACTCGCAAGGCCTACTTTAAGGAATCAAATGCAGGAGTTTGTCCTAATTACAAAGGCGTACTCCTAATGCAGATGCTCCGCATTACGCGCTGGTAGCGCATACCCCTCGCTAGTGATCCCCTGGGAAACTGTATTCCTGTGTAAGGTGCCCACGTTTTATGCCTTAGATTAAATGATCTGACTACATCTGCAAATGTTCTGTAAGAAGAGCTGAGTGTAGCGAGAGATAAATATTACCCTATGTGGGTGAAATGTGAGGAAAAAGACATTTATTTCTGTTTTTTTGAGATCTTTCTCTATTGCACATCTGTCTTTTCGAACTTCTCTGAGACTGTGGGCTGCCTCATGCATTATAGTTGCTATGGCACTGTAAATAACACAGAACTATTGTCTCCAAAGATCAGTTTGTTAGCAAAATTGTTAGCATTATTCATGAAGAAATGTGGTTTTGAAAAATCAAAAGACAGCAGAGGTGTAATATGTAGATCTTAATCATTTTATTCATTTTTATGCTCCTTATTTCAGCCAGGGATAGTGATCTAAATGCCACAAAACTGGTGAAATAGCAATATCCTGCTCTGTCTCCAGATTCGTGGATGTTTGTTTATGAAGAGCATTGATTCATACAGAGAGTTTCAGTCTGGCTTCAGTTGGGTCACAGGTTCCTCTTGTCACTCAGTAATGACTTTCTTATCACAGAGGGCCAGAAAAGCCCTTGTTAGTATTTTCAGATTTCAGTAGCGTCTGGTACTGTGGGTCACTAGACAGTAGGGCTTCTGCCAGGTGGTTATTCTGTCAGTTGAGATGTTTTGGGTTGTTTATAATCAGAGCAGCCTGGAGCTGCCTAGATCTATAGGGGAGTCCTCAGAAGCACTGCAGGCGTCTTGGGGTCACTGGTAGCCTCAGCACACTTCATTTTTTTCAGTTTTGCCTTTTTAAAGATCTCTTGGTGAAATTTGGCCCTCGACACTCCTGATAATAGGCAGCAACATTTCCTCCTACTTGTTTTGCAACAGCAGCGGGAGAGATATGTCACAGACCTGTTTACTTGTGTTCTCAAAACTGGGTCGCTCAGAACTGACAGGGACTGGCTGGGAGAGAGGCCAGAGGGGCTGGGGAAGAAATGTGAGGGCATCCATTTTCTGTAAGATGCTTAATATCGAAGAGATATACTGATATACTAAGAGCTGAGATTTAATCTCAGGGCAGACCCTCAGGCTTGGGGTCTGCCATCTGAGGAAGACTGTTTGGGCCTCACTTTCCATGGTCGTAGTATTTCACTGGATGCTCACTTGCTTGAGTTCAAGGCCAGACTGTAACAAGCTTTTGCTGAACTACTTGAATATCTGACCTGATAGATACAGCTTGCACAAAATGCAGTGATTATTATAATTATGCAGTTGCAGAAAGGAAGATGAGATTCTGCTCATCTGCTGCTGAATCCACTTTATAAGCTGTAAGTAAAATTATGCACCACATCGTATTTTCCTTTTGGGTGAAGTGGTCTCATAACAATTTGATTCACAGGTGTGCTCTCGTATTAACAGTCTCTTCTGCAACTCTCTTTGAGTCTAAGGAACAGGGGTTTAACCTGAGACGCGGGAGACCTCAGTTATATTTCTGCCTTGGGCACTGCCTTGCAGACTGAGTTGGTGGAAGCAATCCCCTGTCTCTTGCTGCCTGCTTTCCTTTCCCTCCCATTTTTATGTGGCGTGGACATTTTTCACTCTTTGTGATGGCCCTTTCTGACTGAATGACACTAAGGACCTCAGGATCTGACGCGTGAGCTGTCACCAGTCCCGGGGAAAGTCCTGCAGTGGGTGGCGGGAGCAATTCATATCCCAGGACGGGGCTCGCCCTGTGCATCGAGGCATCTGTTAAAAATTTGTACAGTGTTTGTTGTAATAGAGTTCTGGTCCTGACTGCTCTTACCTCCTAGGCACTAAGGTAATGTTAATAACAGTCACCGAGTCTTTTCCTCTGAGAGCTTAAAAATGTGTTGCTTTAACACTGTTTGCAAAAGCTGACAAAACTGTCTGTCTCTTTGTTCTTGTGGCTTTGCTGCGTTGGACTGAATTTCCTCCTGGGACTCCAAAAGGCGCTTGAAAACAGCTCTTTTAGAAAGTTAGTTTCATAGGATTATTTTAATGCATAATGCTGCTTTCAAGGCACATTGATTGTATTTATTATTTTGAATTATGTTTAATGATTTCTGTTTTACTCTTGTGCATAGTTATTTTTATCATCTGCTCTGTATTTAAAGTGTCTGGGATGCTTTTGCAGACAGGTGCTACATAAATAAAGTGTATTATTATTTTAATAAGCTACAGCAGGGCAGCAGTTAGAAAAGCCCATATGTTCATATTTCCTTTTTAATCGTTGCTATTGCCGGGATTTAAGCTTTAGTGGGGAAGGGGAAGTGGAAAAGAACTGCAATGTGGGAGAGAGAAACTGCTCCTCTCTGCCACGTGCCCACTGAAGACATCTTTTGCTTAAGGCATTAAAATAGATACAATATATTATATTTTAGGATGATGTTCAGTCTTTCTCCATCTCTTGCAACCTTTGGAAACGGTAATGAACAGTAGTTAAATATTCTGCAGAGAGAGGCAAGCTTCAGGGCGCCCATGAGCCCTCGCCCCTACTGCATTTAGTGACGGCATTTCCCAAATTCCATTCAGGAAAATTACTGCCAGCTATACTCGAAACACTTGCTGTGCGTGTGTAAGCAGGTGGTTTTCCACTGTGCCTAGCGTTAAACACCTGAGCCAAACATTTCAGAAGTTGTCGGAAACGTGGTGTTAACTGATATTTGTCTGGCTATTTGCCGTTGCTGCAAACCTCTGTATTTCCAGAACCAAGCTGGTCTTCGAAGAAGAAGTATCAAAATGTTTCTCAAAAAGGATGGAAGGAAAAAAAAAAAGAAAAGAAAGACTATCTCCACCTGGGAGTAACAGCAGAAAACCTAGGAATCTCTTGAGAAACATTGCTCCTTTGTGATCTCTGGCCATAACTAGGAAGCAGTGACAGTGGAAGGATCTCAGATACGTCTCTAGCCATTGGGGTGCTGATGTGAGCGAAGCTGGGAGGTAGCAGATTGCAGCAGCAAGCACACGGGCCTAGGAGCTGGGCCGTGCTGGGCCGAGTCCCAACTCTGCAGCGTCTGGCCGGCAGGTCTGCCTCACCTGAAGCCAGTCGCTCGACCTCTGCTGTCCCATTTTCTTTTTGGACCAGTGACTGGTTTCTAATGTGTGTTTTTCAAGCGCTTAGTAGAAAGTGGCCAAGACCTAAAATTCTGTCATCAAGTTCAAGTAGAATATGAAAATCACTGGTTGAAGTTTAATTGTTGTTAGCTGCAACAGTTAAGGTGTCTTTCTCTGTAGACACCCTGTGATTCCTATTTTATGTTTCTGGCTCTGGTCTCGAGAGTAATTCCTGACATAGCCTATTGTAAATGAGATCAGACCCTTGATACTTTGTACCGGGTACTTCTTTTAGCACATTGCGAACGTAGGAGACTGGAGTAGAGCTAGTTAAATTTTATCAAAATCCATGTCACAGCATCTTGAATTTAGAACAATCAATTCATTACATGTAGGTGCTACGGAGAAGTAAGACATGTACACATGGGTGGTTTTTTTTTGGAGGCATAATAGTTTGTTGCACTAATTGTATAATACTTGTTTAAGGGGTGGCTCAAGGGGTTTTGTTGTTGCTGCAAACTGTGCAGCAGTTATAGCCTTACCAGAGAACAATATTTGCTTTTCTTGCTGGATGACAGCCTGCTGCTTGGACATGCCTAGCTAGCCCCTTGCAGAAGGAGGCAAGCCTGCTCTTGGGAGCTCTAGCAGCCTATGAGGGAGCAAAACGGCAGTTAGCTTTTTAACACCAGCAGTGACACACCACTGCTGTTTTGCAGAGTTGGAGCCTGCCTTCAGCAGCCTGACCCATCTGTCGCATCCCAAGAAATTGGGAGAGAGGTAAGAAATGTACGTGGTCCACAGCAACGTGTCATATGGCTGGGACCTGGGCAAGTTCTGAATAAAATCACCAGCAGTCTGAATGAGGGGTCCAGTTCAGCATTTGAGTAGGACAGTCCTAGATTATGTAGCCTGGTTTATTAAAGTATGGCACTTTTTCAGTTAATGGAAACACCAGGTTTAGTTACACTGTTTGACTTGTGTGTAGAAAAAATTGGGAAACAATATTTCATCACTGTTATAAAAAATGCATACATGTATAAGATTTCTCTTAGCTCTATATTTTAGGAACTAGTCACTTCTATTGCATTTCTCCCCACATACTTGCAGTTAAAACAAGTAATAGTTTAATTGTAGCTCTCCTTTGTTGTCCAGTCAGGCTGGATCTGATGAAGCTGCACCCACTGAAATATTTGTGTTGCTTTGCAGCGCCTTACAGCTGGAGAAGCTGTCCAAACCCAGAAAAAAAGATGGTCCTCCCTCTGCATTTACATTTGAGGTATAAGCTACAACAGGCAGATGGGGAATACCAGAAGTAAAGTGGTGGTATTAGTTAACACGTTAGGCAGTGTCCTCAGCCCAGCAGAAGCTTAACCATTTTTGTGTTATACAGACATCGGGAACAGCAGTGCTCTAAGGAGACTGGTGAAACAACAATGAAGCAGGTTGCAGATGTTTCTGAGACAGTGAAAGGAAGAATGGGAGGAAGCACAAAGGTGCTTATTTTAAAATAGAGCAAGATTTGATGGAGGCTGGCAGGAGTTCACTACTGCCCAGGCATCCTATTCATTTCTGATAGTGCAAAATGAGAGAAACTTGTTACCCAGAAGACCAGGTGCCATGATCTCTCCTTCTGCAGCCTGCAGATATTGTCTAAATTGTGCCACATTGTAACAAACCTCTGTAGGACACACAACCTCTCTTTCTACCAAGAGGAAAGCCAGCAATATAGAGAAAAGACAGTAAAAACAGATTAGGAAAAGAAATGCATCCTTTTCAGAAACAGATGGGGGAGGAAAGGAGAGGGGAAGGAGCAGAAATTGAAGGGAAAGATGCTACACAGCTGTGATGTATATAGCTAAATAAGCTCGCTATATGTAATTCATATACTGTGCCTTCAAGTGCTTCCTAGACTGTGTTTTGTGGAAAGCAGCTGTTTTGTAGCATCCCAGCATCTTACCGATCATACCACTGCTGTGCTCTCTGGCATAGAGGTTTAGCTTTGGCTCGTCTTTGTCTTATCTTTTTTTTTCCCCTTAATCCAAATTAAAAGTCATCCAGTTTGAAAAGATGAGCTTGTTACTGTGAATGAGAAAACTATGCTGTATGCTAGATCTGTCATTGGGCACCTCTACACGCAGGCATATCTGACACTGGTACCTTATTCAGCGTGTCACAGGGATGAACGATTGCCCTCAGAAGACAAGCTGCCACATCCTTGTGACAAACATTATTGTATCATGGGTGCCTCTGAAGCCAAATTTAGCAGTATTCCAGGCAATGTTTTATGAAATGTAACTATAGCAACTAAATCTTCACTGCCATATTATAAAACAATCTTTGTTTAAAAAAAAAAAACAAAAAAAACCTAAGAGCACAAGACAGCTCCCCTCCCCAGTCCTACACCTGCACATGCTGCACAGCTTAAATCTTCTGAAGGATGCTACAGATTGCCTAATATACTACATATCAGCTATCTGCATTATTTGCTATTTTAATTTTTTTTCTTTTTAATCTGGCCCAGGTAAAGAGCTGTAGTTATCTTAAAAAAAAAGAAAAGAAAAGAAAGAAAGAAAAAAAGCGTTGTCCCTTTTTATAGCAACTTTCCCTCACCAGGTTTTCCTGTGTCGCAGCAGTTGCTGTTTCAGTTGCAGTCACACTTTATTTTTTTCTCTGCCAGGTGCCACATGGTGGTGCTCCTGACTCTGCATTGCTCAGGGGCCTGAGCTGCCTGAGAGGAGTTCCAGATGCAGTGTATGTACCAAAACTGATTTTACAGAGAGGGCTAAGAGACAGCTCTGCAATGAAGGTGAATCATACTGTGGGATGGGGGGAGGCACTTTTCTCCCAGGACGCAGCTACTAAGCTTGATAACAGGAAGAAAGAGCTGAATAATGGCAGCTGATAAAAATTCTCAGGACTATGCCTGTATGTATACACACACACACACACGTACACTCAAATTTTGCCTCTTTTACACTTTATTTTAATTACTGTGTGAGTTTTGTGTGTTGGCTTTGTGTCAGTAGCTATAGCTCCTCCCTGTTTTCTGTTTTATCAGTAGAAGGCTCATGCGGGCGCTGATCTCAATATCCCGCTGGGGAGCAAGGCAGGCGTGCTTATCTTGGCCTGCAGTGGAGACGCAGTGCGTAGGACTTACAGCCAAACTTTTGCTCTTTCTAGCAGTTTCCTCCTTTCACCATTAAGAGCAACACCGTACTGGGGTGTACTGGAAGAAAGGTGATTGATTAATGAAGCTGAATCTACAGAAATACTGCTTTACAGTAAGCTGGAATTGTTTCACTTTGATTTTGAACTTTCTTAACGCTGTCTAATATGAGAAAACAGAGGAGTTCTTACAATGGTTTTGTGATAGTTTGGTCCAGCTGGCCTGCCGCAGGCTGGCTGTCATCTCTGCGGCCCATCCGTCTGGCTCACCGTCTTTCGTTTGGAGGGGCCGAGGAGCAGCTCTTTGCGCAGGCAGCTGAGTGCTGTCTCTGCGAGGGACTCAGCCTTGCTGCTGCCCCGGGCACGGGAAGAGCGAGGCTGTGGGAAGGGGAAGGGGGAGGCAGCGGGAGGACGGGCTGGCGCAGGGATGGGAGCTGCCTCTGTGGCCCCAAGAAGGATCCCCAGACTGGAAAGTGGCCAGAAGTGGTACTGGCTTGATTTCAATTGAAAGAGCCCTCTTTCTCATAAGAAAAACTCCAAATCAGTTAGACAACGTCTTCATCCATGCCAGGGGCTTGCAGCTCACTGAAATCAACAGAAAATGGCTTTTGTGTACTTTGAAGCTGGTCCTGTGAACTGTAGCCTTCTGCCAGTTAAAGCGTAGCTTTATGTGTGTAGGACTTCTGTCCTCTCCGCACTGTGAGCTTCTGACAGCTTTACTGAAAACTGGATCAGGCATTTAGGTATTTACAATTCTTTCTTTTAAATTGTGGGAAGCCATCTCTTTAATTAATTCCCAGCAAAACAATTGAATGCATGACCTACGAGGATAATTACGTGTAACTCCGCTTTGATTTTTTTGTAAAAGTTTCACTGGATTTATATGGCATACTGCACTGGTATGTGATCTAAAAGTGGAGCTCTGATAAAGTCCATGTATACACAAATGTATAACCCTTTAGACTACATAACTGCGTTGTCTATATAAATATCTTATTCTGGAAGGTCTTATTATTAGCATAACCTTTTAAATGTTTGGCTTTGCATTATTTATGTTATGTATGACATAAACCATAAACTGACTATTGCAGAAAATGTCTATGACTTCAAAAATTCCTTAGATTAGTGTTCAGTTTATTGGAAAATCTAATGGCCTGCTATATTGAAAAAGACTAAGAAATGCACCTCTCTGCATCATATAAATGGACTGATGGACAAGGTAGGCATTAACCCTGCTCAGGTTTGACCAGTGAGGAGTTTGCGCTTTGAATGCCACTTTACACATCAAAGACAAATGCGGAAATGAATAACATTTTATTTAATATTGAAACTACATTTTGATGTTTTGAGTGAGTTCGTTATGAGCGACAGGATATATCCAGGGTTGTATTTGCAATGAATAGTGTTTCTGGTGAGTAGGAGGTACATCAAAGAGAGAAAAGCATTACCTAAAGTAAGAGTAGCTGTGCAGGAAGATGCTGCCAAAAGAACAGGGTTTCTTCTGCTCTAACAGTTAAACTTGAAAATTATCCTGTCAGCCTTGTTTCTTAGCTTTACTACCTGAATGACCAATACAGAAAGTTAAATTAAACATACAGAAGTTAAACTAAAGTATTAGGGAGATATTAAGGCATGTATTATGTGATTTCTTTGCATCTGTTTCCAAACAGAAGTGCAAAGTTACTTACATCAAAGAAGATCCAGCTTCTTATATAGACCCACATTGTACTAATGATGTTATTTTGTGAAATACTGAGTGTGTGCCCACCAGCAAGAAGTCCTAAGTGGACTTTCTTCCCTGAAGCGGAACGAAATGGAAACATCCAGACCAAACAATCAGCCTCTCTGTTGTCTGTATTCAGGAATCATATAAACTTACACAGTCGGATCCCCCTGCCAACTCCCAATTAATATATTAAAGCACAAAAACTTGCTCCCAAGGAGGGTCACGAAATGCACGTAGTTTTCCTATCTGTATAGACTGTTAGAGATTTGGAAGGTTTATTTCCCTTGTCTCACTCTCCAGAGTGTTTTAAAAGATTAATAATTTACTGATCCCAAATAAGATGATATTATGGAGGATCAAAATAAACTGCAAATTATGAATTATTCCCCAAAATATCAATTTTGAAAAGTCAGTTAAGAATGTATAACTAGGTAGGAGTAATGGAAGTTCACAGACATGTAGACTATATCTACCAATGTGTCCTGATGCAATCGGGATTGTTTTCTTCACTGGCTTGCTGTTGGCTTCTGATGTCATTTTAAGGTCCCAATCTAAAATCTTTATTCACTTACTAGATCAAGCTCCAGCCCCTCTTTTGGAACCAGGAATATGCTTTTGGGATAAGCTGAGGATGAAGGGTGGGACAAACGGAGATAAAGTACTGTCTGTCAAGAAGAACTGATACTCAGCAAATGTCCGGTGAAAACTTTGCAAAGTCTCTCTCTTTCAGAAAGTCTTTCCAGTAAAAACATCAGTCACAGTTCAAACTCTTCTTTTTCCAAGCTCCTGCCAACATCTTCAGAGGCAAAACAAAGATCTCTTCTCCAAGCAGAGCATTGGCCCCAGAGCAGAATCCAGAAGATCTGCCACAGAGTTCGCATTTGCTGAAAATGGGGTTGTGGCTGGCTTCAAGGTGAGTTGCTTGGTTGACATGGTTTTCTATAGTACTGTAAAACTCTGAGTTGACTACGGGCACTTCTTGGTGAAACGTGTCCTATCCAGGTATTGATTTTATAGGTGTACGTGTGAGGGGAGTTCCTTAAAAGACGGGACTTTAGAAGAACTGTAGTTTAATGGAGGTGTAGCATGGTCTTTAAGCTTCATATATCTGTAAACCATCTGAGACAACTGACAACAATTTGAGTTAAAGAAGCAGCTGTGACATCTCAGGGTTACCTGGATCTTTGATGTTTTCCCCTCTTAAGCAAGAATTACTTATTTATGTATGCCAGAGAGGATTTCTGGGAAGCACAAGCACCCAGAATTTCACTTTCTTGCCTGGTGGGGTGTGGCCTGAGCTCATCCAGGAACACAGTTCTTGAACTGCTTGCACATATAATTGTATTCTGATCTCCTGCTGCCAAGGGGACAGCACATCCAAAAGTTTGCCAGTTTTTCCTCATCCCTTGAGAACAGACAGATTTAACAATAAAAACATAGAGGTTGTTTTGCTTACATGAAGATAAAGGATTGAAAACAAAAGGTTACAAATAAAATAAATGCAGTGCTTTTTTGTAGCCTTTCTTAGTTCTTCTGACATATTTCACTTGGAATGCAATTCTTGGGGTTAGCAGTGGGAGGCCTGACAGTCCAGGTCTCTCACATATATTCTGTGCTCTGCGTACTGAATAACTCTTCTCTGTTTTCCTGCCTAGATATACTACACTCCGTTTTTTCTTTGATTCACTGCAAATGGTATATCGAAAGCTGGAAGAGGGGAAATGTAAAATGGCAATGGTCAGAAGGAGAGACGTTGTCTTTGCTATTTACAGTTTTTCACTGTTTTTGCTCTCTTGATATAACTGCCTTGGTGGATGTCTTTGTTTTATCTTCTCGTGACATTATCCATTCCTGGATGGTCTCGCACACTTTCTTCAACTTTTTTTTAAGCTTACAATATTGAGATAGTACGTGTTTAAAGCATCTGTTGCCCGTAAAATCTATGAAGTTGATAATCTCCCATGCCGTACTACTTTTCTAAAGAGATCACACATGGCATTTAAGGCACCACTTCAGAGCAATTGGAGGACCCTGGCATTTCATACTTCCATGTGAGTGAGAGCCTCATGTCTTCCTCCAGTATTTATTGTTGGGGACCATGGTCTAAAAGAGTCTTTTTTCCTCAGCTCCTGTGCTCTCATTTGCCGGAAGTGCAACATAATCAAAGCACTAGATTGGATGAGATTTGCGAAAACTGGGAAGAAGGAATGTGTGTATAGTAATAACTTTCAAAAATGTAAAGACAGAAGAGGGAATTATGATCTGCATGGAATGAGATATTGCCGAATAGTTCCCAAATGAGTACATTGAATTATGTTAAAACATAGCTGAGCTTTACTTGTATGTTTTCTCTCTCCCTGCATTTCTGAGCAAATGGTAAATAAATTCATATAAGGTACTTTAGCCAGAAAAAATAAGTACAAATCTTCTTGTCAGTTTGAGCATACAAAAGTTTCATTTGCTCTGTTGTCTAATACAGATGTTTTCTGGATTCTCTATGACACTCATAGTATCATAGACAGGCAGCAGTCAGGAATCTTCAGTCAATTGTGGATGTTAGTTTAGAAGGTGATTCAATTCAATGGATTAAGCAAAAGCTGCCAACAAGGAGAGCTGTGAGTTCTGTTTTGTCTGCGAGTAGAGGTTTCCAGTGACACAGATGGCTGAAGAAGTCATTGGCATGATATACAAGCCAATGAACCATTAGCACTGGGACATAAAATATGCGATAGACATTTTAAGGCCGAATTAGTTAATTTTGTAGTAGCATTAACCACTTAGGAAGACATTCAGTTTGGTTTTCCACAAAAATGTGGTTTGGAAGGAACCTAACCATGCACACCTAGACTCTAGTAAAAGTATGGAAGCTGGATGACTAAAATGAGGCTTCTGACTCACACAGATGTGCTTAGCCTTCTCATTTGGGATCTCCAGGTTTTTACTGTGTGCGCTATGTGTCCACCACATGAACCAGATATGCATAGCATCAAGAGACGAAAATAATGCCGTTGTGCCAAAAGCACAATGCTAAGCTACTTAAGCTACAGGAACACATTAATTATTTTCAGTGTTAGGATTACAGTGTATGTTCTCCTTGCAAAGCAATTACTTATTTACAAACACTTAAAAATCATATGATTCAGCTGAATATATTTTTAAATGCTCCATCCTTATGGAATATGCAGACACACATGCACACACATACACTATATACTATAAATATGTCTTTTTATATATATGGTAAATTGAGATTTGCTGGGATTCATGTATAATACAATCGCTTATGCTAAGACATGTTATATATGTAACTATACATATAGATGCACAGATCCATACAAATGGACATTTAAATGTTTTGGTAAATGATACATGTTTTTGAATCTTGCTCGGATGAATATATGGGCTTAATAGTTATGTTTTAGGTTTAAATTAACTTACATGTATTCTCTGCAGCTAGAGGAGTTTATTACTCCATAAGAAGGCTGTGCCTCCAGCTCTCAAATTTCCTGATAGCTTCAATTTGCGAGGGGATGTCATTCACAATTGTACTATCTTTTCTTATATGAAGTTCAGCATTATTACTTGGTCATGTGTAAACAAAGCTTCAAGTTTTATCTTCCATTAATGAAGCTGAAATGAGTTAATATGAAACAAAGTGAGAGAGCTAGAACATGCCAATATTAATTCTTTCTTTATTGCTTCTGGGGTTGGAATGAACGAAAATGTCCATTATCATCAATTTGTTTTCATTCCCTTACTTTCCCTAGTGACAATTATTTTTTAATCAAATCATTTGTTTGATATTGCAAATGTCTATAATTAGTACAGAAATAAATGAAGAGGTGGTCAGGCTTAGGTGGTTATAAGTGTAGTGGGGCTTTTTATTTCCAGAGAAAATGCAAAGACTTCTAGTAATAGCATGAGGTAGGACAAGAAGAGTCCATTAGCATGTTGGTGGTTAGCATTCCTGAGTCTGCAACTAATTTCTACTTGTTTAATTTCTACATTCTACATGTTCTACACTAATTTCTGCAAGTTTAATGGTAAATATTTGTTATCATTTAATATTCATGGCAGTTTATAAGAATGCTTGAAGTAAATTGAACCAATTAATGAAAAGACGTAAGTCAGCCTTTGAACTTATTTTAGGAGGATTTTGTCAAAAAGATTTTTCTGAGTTTGTTATTTGTCTTTGGTACCAACCTCTAACATTCCCAGCTCTTTTTCCTCTGCAAGTTCAACCATGGCCCCAAGTCCCCTCCTGAGAGGAGCCTTCGCTAGCTTGTTGTGACAGGCTATTCTGAGCCAAAAGCCAGCCTTCTGGGTGGAATTTGACTATTACTGGGATGCATTCTTTTGTGAAACGGCTGCAGCATAGTGTCTTGCTCCTTCAGTAACACTTTGCATATTCCACCATACAAAGTCTTAATTAAACTCTAACATAAAGATGTGTCAGATCAGAGCATGCATGTTTCAATCGCACTGCAGTCCACATGCTTGCAAATACCTGAGCTATGAAGATTTTCACTACATCCATTCTATGTGAAGTGTGAAGCTGCTACAGTTCAACCTGGGAAGCTAGGTTTGTATTTTGTAAAACTGTATCAGTCTAGGTTTAGTTTTGCAAAAACAAAACTAGAGATGAATAAGATCTTGTCTTCATTTTATTCAAAGCACAGAGGTTCAGACAGGAATGAGAAAAGAAAGGAAAATCAAATAAAAGTGTTCAGCTTTTGACTTAGTCTGAATTATAGCTTTTATAAAATTGAATTTTAATAATTTGCTGTGGGAAGACTTTAAGTAATACTATTCTAGGAGAATTATTTGAGAGAAAAATATATATTTTAGAAAAGATTTCTGTCTCCTTGCATCTCTCCCTCTCCTGATAATACTGTAACCTGTGAGCCTTTTAGCTGGCATTTGTACTTTACAAATGAGTATTTTTGCTCATTCTTATTCTTATGGTGGTCAGAACCAGCGCCAGTGCTGGGAATCACCAGCATGAAAGCTGTCCTGGTCCCCATCTATCCAGTTAATTTTATCATTATTGGCATCACTGGAGCAGGATTATAAGTTTTAATTTTGCAATCATTATCGTTTCATGCTGCACAGCCTCCATGCAGTGGCTGTCTGGGGCACCTTAGCAAAGAAGGAGCAACTAATGAGTAGAGAACTCAAAAACGTTTGAGGTGAATTTCTTTAAAATTGATGCCTTGTCTGATGGGAGAATGATGCATTTGGGACAGCATACCTAGTTTTATGTGAACGCAGGAGAATAAATGATCTGTTTATGCTACTGGTATCTTTCTGACAAGCACATCTGTCATATCTAGTTTATGCAAGCACACCTCCAACGTATTTCACTTAAAGCTTGTGTTAGATAGTGCTAGTCAGAAAGCCAGGCTTTGGAGGAGCATGTGAAAAGCTGCCTCAGAGGCTGAGAGTTTTCAGAGAGTTAAAAGGTGGGAGATATAACACAAACCTGTTTAGATGAAAATAAACTGGTTATTCCTCATGGGCAAATCCAAGCAGTGTGACTAGTCTGTATCATCACTATACTTCACTTCCGTGAGAGATTGAAGGAGGTGGCAGACCTCAGTGATGGATGAAAATTTTTTGGTTTTGAAATGATGAGGGAAGTAAGTTGGCCTTAAAGTGAATAAAATGACACCGTGGTGGCAATGGCAAGGTGACCAGAGTGCTGAAATGAAATTCCAAGGAAGGAGGGATTTGAAGTCTCAGCTCCTACCTGTGGTCCTTAATGTAAGACGTATTTTTCGGAGATCCTTTGGCGTGGATGCAAGTGGTGTAGCATTCTCCTCAACTTGACTTCGTCAAGTGCTTGAGGTTGAGAGAGATGAACACGACAGTAAGAACAAAAACTCAGCATAAATTCTGGGGCTGCTTCTTTCTTTTCACTTTGATGATTAACACTGCCATTGCCTAGAGCTCCCAGTGGACCTTCAGACTCCCACACTTTCTTTAGCCCTTCTCCACATACCGGCTCTCATTTCTGATTTCCTCTAGTGCTGCTATACAAGCATGAGAAAATGAGAGAATTTTCTTCATGTTCTTCCCCATGACCTTCTGCGCTTTCAGGTTTTCTGTCACTTATCAGGCTTTCAATTTTTAGGGCTATAGCTCCTTATTTGACTCTGGAAGCTTTCTAAGAACTCTAATACCAGGAAGGGACACTGGTGGCATTCACTGTTCAGGCTTTCCAGCATATCTGTTTTCTTTATGGGAAGATTTTTATCTTCACTTAAGAAGTCCTGTGAGACTAGCTTTCTTCCTTAATTTGAATAACTAACGTTTCTGAGGGTGTTAAATCTTCCTGACCATTTCAAATAAAAGTGGAGCAGTGTGGCACTTGTGCATAAGAGATTTTTTCAGCGATTTTCTTATTATTTGTTGTCCACACATTAAAAACAAAACAAGGCATAGCATGGTCACCGTTTTCAGGGTTTTTTATGTAATGCATACAAAAGTTTTTATTTCACTCATTGTTCCTAGCATAAATGGCAAGTATTTAAAGAGTTGTGATACAAAGGGCATTTTTCAATCTTCTTTATGTTATTGTGCCTACTCTACTGTTTAGTCTAAAATGTATGATAATCCTAGAAATGTGCTTTTTTTAGCTTCTCTTGTTCCATTTAAAACGTTTGAATGATGCCATAATAAAAAGCAGTTATTGTTCAGTAATGCTTTTGCTATCTATAATTTTGAGTGTCAGAGTTGCATACAAAAGCTGTATAAAAATAAAATTAAAGGGGCTCTTCCAAGACAAACATACTAAACTAAACTGGGTGATGAAACAAAAGAAAAAAGAAACAATTTAAATGGTCACAAAATTGCCCCCTCCCCTTTTACATCCCTAAGAAAATGATCATATGATTTTTGTTACTGATTGTGCCACATTGAACTAAATACTAGGGGGATATAAATTGCTACCATAATTTTGCAAAGCTACAGATCTACACTATCATTTCTGGGAAAAAAATTGACTAAAGTTACCAAGATAGCGAATCAGGAATAGGAGAAGAAATGAAGAGGAAAATTATAGATCGACAGCATAGTAAGTTATATCCTCCCCAGTGCAAATGATCTGAAACCAAAATGAAAATGAAAATTGACCTTGTCCCTGATCTGCTGTATGCTACATGCAGAGGCTCACCTCAGCTTTATAAACCAGCAGTTCTTTGCATTTCAACTACATTGCAGAGATTGCCCTTCCCTCCCCCTTGTTCATGAAGTACATGGTTAGATGACAGATAGCATTTGGTCTGCTGATATTTTGGAAGAGCTTGGAAACATTGTTAACTGAATGAATAACTTACACAAATCAAAAGATAGCAATTACAAAGACAGAGATGCACAAAAATTTGCTTCTATTAAATAACGTATGCTGGAGACGTTCACCTTCATTCAGGAAGGCTAATATTGAGAGCCGTCAGTATTTTTTTTAGCTAGAGTTGGCCAGTTTATTACAAAAGAATCATAACGCATCCATGATCTAAAGGACAACTACTTAGGGACCTCAGCGTGAACTCCTTATGCTTCAGGTGAAGCCCTCCAGGTGGACTCTGCTGGGTAAGGAGAGATCTTGGTGTGATCCTTCGTGTAGCTACGTAGTCAATGCAGTGGGACTTGGCGTTTTTGACTTAGTTCATGCTCTAAAATCTCTCCAGCAAAACTAAATTATTCAACAACATTAAAGAAAAGAAACCTGGCAAAAAGTCCCACCCCACTTATTTCAATGGATCTAGTAAAGCTAGTGAACCTGACAGCTATACAACAGGTAGTATGTTTATCTATTTAGGTTGTGTCGTACTGGAAAGTAGTTCTGCTGGAAAATAGCTCCTGCTGTTAGCCTATGTCATGTAGTAATAAGATTTTTTTTGGTAAAGTTATTCTGGCAAAAGTGGGTGACATAAACGAATGTTTTTTATAGACCTGTACATTTTATTTTCTGAATTCTGTATTTCATTGTAACTTCTAATATGGATTAAATCTCCTGGTTTATGTCTACAAACAGACAACATCTAAGGAAGTAAACCAGCACCATTAACAACTGAGCACGCTTGCTTTGGTATGACACTGAAGCCTACTAACTGAGTGACTTTCCAGCTCCTTGCCCATCAGCCCTAGGGGAGAGAAGAATGCCAAAACCTCTGCAGAAGAGGCTGATAGTTTCAGGTCTGATTTTAGAATACAAAATATGCTCTAATTTTCAGATGAACCTTGAAGGGTTAAACTGTTAAGTAAATGTTTTCTAAATAGCGTAGTTCTGGGAAGAACGCATGTAAAAAAAGTGGAGAGACAGAGCAGGGACTTACTGCTTGCTAGAGAAGCCTGGAAAGCAGTACTACTGCGTTGTAAGAGAATTGGTCAGGACTCTGACAGAGATCTGTTTCATATACTGCTTTTTTTTTTTAATGTGAAACAATCCTCTTTCTAACATAGCATGTGCCTTAGAATTCAGCTGGCTTTTGCCAGACTCACTCAAAAATGCAATTCTTTACATCTTTGTTTCTTGATCAAATATATCAATAATAATGAAAGTGAACATAATTAAATTTCAGTTATTCATAACCAATCTATTAGCTATACTAATAGTCTAAGTTTCCTGAGCTGTAGCTTTCACTGTAGTCTAAGTTAATTGTCTTATGTCACTAAGAGCATAGCCAGAAACATTTACCACAATAACTTGCCTGAGTTTTAAATCCCATTCATCTTGAAAGCTATTTATATTTCCCTTGTCTTGACCTGGATGGAGATATATTGAATAATATTGAATAGTAACTCTTTCTTTAAAGCTACTTGCAGCCTCTCTTACTTACTTTTCCCATGACACCTTCAAGAATTTACCTAATATGCTGATTTCCACACTGGCAGAATCTACTGGGGTAGCTTAGGGCGTTGGTAGAGTGGCGAAAGGTCTGTGCTTTTAGTCAAATGTGATTAGAATCCATCATTTTTATATGTATATATATCTTTAATAGGTATGTATGTATGTATTTACTATGAGAGAAAGATCTCATGGTCTCTGACTTAATGCAGTTTTATTTTCTTTCTCTGTCAGCACAGCACCATCCCACAGAAGCTTCCAGGCTTCCAGGATATAATATTTTTAATTCATATTTGTTTCCCAACACAAAGGTCTGTCTTAATGGTAAGACATGGGTAAGACAGCCATGAAATACTTCAGGAACTTCAGCTATGGGAAATTGACTACTTGAACCATAAACTCGTATTTTGTGCCTGCAGTGAAAAAACGGAAGCTTTTAATGCAAAACCAGTGCTTTTTGTATATGCATAATCAGCTCTATACGTAACTGACTCCATAAGCCTACCTATATCTGTGTATTTTATGCATGAGGTAGGAAGCATGGTTTAGCACTGTTGAAATTATGATCCTGCTGGTTTAACTGTCAACTAGGAGTTGTGTGGGGGGCATGGTGGAGTTATTTAGAGCCACTAAGTCTAATGTTTTATTAAAAAAAAAAAAAAAGAGGAAGGGAAGGAAAAGGGAGAAAGGGAGTAGGGCTGCAGAAAACACTCCGTAAGAATAGAGTTCCTTGCCAAATATCAGTACAGCAAGAGTCCTTCGGTGCCCTGAAATCATGTAGAAAAGCTCTCTTCAGTGCATAGA